ATTTACTCTGTTTCTCCTCAACACAGACATTCGCAAATGCCAAGCGCCCTCCCCTTCTCCATCTGCTTTCATGGTGAAAATCAATGGCTGCAGGAGGAAAGCTGGACAGAGCAGTTGGGGAAAAATAAAGAAATCAATGCTGCCTTATTAACTGAACAGAGCTTCCTTTACTACTGAGACAAAAATATGTGTGAGCGCGTGTGTCTGACTCGATCTGTGTCAGTAAATGATAGTGGTAAGCAGCGTGTGTGTGTGTGTGTTTGTGTGTGTGTGCATTTGTCTCTGAACATTGGTGGCAAGTGTTTGCACCCAACTGCTACTTTGTAGGCGTGCTCTGCATGAGTATGAGCCAGAGTGTGTGTGTGTGTGTGTGTGTGTGTGTGTGTGTGTGTGTGTGTGTGTGTGTGTGTGTGCTTTTTACGTGCACAAAGACAATCTCTCAAAGTCGATGTGTTACTCTTGGGTCAGTGCCATGACGTCAGGTTGGCGACTTGGCCTCGGTCTATTTGTGGACAAAAGGGATGCTCTAAGACAAATGATTTAGCAGCTGTCCATCAGAGGAGGGGGATGAGGGATGAGGGAAGACAGAGGTCAGAGTCTCAGCAAGAAAAAATGATTAACGCTTTCACAGAACCCATGTAGGCAACAAGAGAGAAAATGGGCGAAGGAGCAAAGGACAGGAAGAAAAGTTGACGCTCAAAGGAAAGAATGACAGAAAGTTAGGCAAAAAAAAAATTACAATTTAGCTTTGGGTCATCAGACAGCTCATGCGCCTGAAAGCAATTTCCCTGTGAAATGACAGCTCCTATTTCTGCAGAGTTGTTTGCCTAACGCCAGCTCGCAGGAACCGAGGCTGGCCTTCGGGCCATGTGAGCAGACCTTCCCTCATCACACGAGTTACCATAACAACCAGTGAGGTCGACCTGCACCGAAGGCTGCACAGGGGTGTGAACTTTGTTTCTGCCTGCAGCACTTCAGCTGTCTGCGGTACTTCTGACACATCAACACCCACCTCCTTTGGAAAAGTCACAACAGAGCGGTGTGGTACATTTTGTATGTGTGTGTGTGAGTGTGTGTGAATGTTTAGCCATGGCAAAGCTGTAATTGCTCAGTGGAGGATGGTTTGTTTGGGCTGTGAAAATAAAGCGCTATGTCAAGAATAAAAGTGGTAAATGTAATTTGGGAAACGCCAAAGTAAACAAAGTCAGGGCTTGGTCTGAAGTGTTTGCAGATGCATGTTAGGACTTCGATGTTGGAGGTGAATACTGAAGGAGCTTTGTGTGATGTGAGGTTTTAGATTAGACTGACGTGAGGCCTTTTCTCTCTGACTCTGTGATCTATGTACACAGTCTTTGTCTTTAATCATCCAATTTACGTGTTTCACACACAGCGGACAAGAAAACACGGCTGACCTTGTTTCTTCTGAAGCCTAACAAAACACCCCACCACCACCACCACCACCAGCGCATCCATGAAAATGTTGACAGCTCAGAGAGCGGCTTAACTAACGAGCATCTGATTGTGCAGATTATGGATGTTCCACTGAGGATTACTCACAATCAAATAAACAAATTGACCTCTTCTTAAACATGTACACGTAAAAAACAAACCAGGGGTCAAAAACAGTGCATCTGTTGGAAAACAGAACCCTGAACGTTTCCTTATTTTAGTTTGCAGACCCCGCTAACCCCATCAGTTATCCTGCTGTCTCCTCCTGCTGCCTTCGCACTGTATGTGCCATATTATTGTCCATCAGGGGCTTTTCTGTTTCCCTTAAATGAAAGAGCAGAGCAGAGAAATGTTATTTTCTCCACATGGCAGGGTGTTATTTGCATTTGTCTTGGGCTCACATCCTCACAAAAAAATAAAAAAATAAGAAACAAGAAAAAGCAGACGTGTTTCCTGTTCTGTGTGTGTATTCTTAGACAAGGGACAGCCAGAGTCCTCCTCTCTGGTTCCCCTCAGATGTGTTTCAAGCGAAGCAAAGCTATTTAGAAGTCATCTCACTGTGAGACGTAACAGTAATGACACCAAGGCCTTATTCATAACTCCACTTTATTTATTTATTTATTTTTTTGCTTTCTGTCCCTAACAATAGGGACACATTAATTCTCTCCATGCTTGTTTGGTGAACCCCAAAAAGAGAAAACTTTTTTTGTTAATGAGCATGAGACAACGATTGAACATCGCATGTGGGTCACATCGTATTAAGTGAGCTGGCTGTCCTCGTAAATGTGCTCCAAATCAAATGTGCTGTATTGAAATCCAGTTCATTGCTTATTGGCCTGATAATGTGGTGTGGCTGCACTGGGAATAACTTCCCTGCCACTAAAAAAAGGGTCTTTACTCTCAGACATTAAACTACTGGTCTGGGTTAAAACATAACAAATGGTGCACACTTGATAGCAATCTGTCAGAACAGCTCAAACATGTAACATGAATCGGTTTATACCAGACAGTGGACCCTTTCATCGCTCAGCCTAAATGAGATCTGTGCATATTCCCATAATTAATAAAGCAGATGATAAAATCACTCAGAGCCAGCTGTAAATGTTATCCATCTGGGTGTCTTCTTACATGAACTGGAAATTTAGAAAGTTAGACAAGTCTAATGAGAAAAGGTAGACGTACATCTTTTAGAACAAAGCAAGACTTTAGATTGGGCCGGTGAGACGGCTGCTGCTTAAAGGGGAACTAGGCAGCTTTTGCTTGCTTTTAGCACCCCCTAGTGTTTGTTTGTAGAACCAAAAGCAAAACCTGGCTCCTCTCTTTGTGTTTGTCTTTTTAAAGGTAGTGGCCAGACTCAGCATAAAAATTGTAGAAATACAGTATAACTACACTTTACCATCTATATAAATATGAACTGGGTTCAGTTTTTCATTTTGTTAAGGAATTTAGTCATAAATCATTACAGAAAATCTAAATTCTCTCCTCCAGGCAGTGAAGAACTGTGTTTTACATACGTCACTCACACACGTCATACTGGGTAGCTGGCGTTGCTAGCATGGTAAATCACTGTATTCTGTTTACTATCGCGGTCCTAACTAAAACAGAAAATTGCGTTTACAGCTGCAGCTAAAGGTCCGAGCCATATGTCCGCATCCTACATGTATTTTTAACTAATATAGGTTTGATCTAAAATAATAACCGACATCTATACATCCATGTAGAACCGCACCGGTACTACTGGACTCCAGCTAGCATGAATGCTGCAGCACTAACTGTGTTAGCTCTGGTAACAAGTAATTTGTGAAAGCTACAACACACACACACACACACACACACACACACACACACACACACACACACACACACACACACACACACACACACACACACACACACACACACACAGATATAATCTAAAAAATGATCCCCATTTTTCAACAATAGATCCTCCTATAGGACCGGTAGAACCTCCTGTCATCCTGGATTAGAATACAACAATCCTAGCTAGCGAGTTAGCATCAGGAAGATTTATCCTGGTAAGCAATTGGTTAAATATTTTTTTGATGTTATATCAATAAATACACACAGCTGTAAAGCTGGCAACACTTTATTTTCCTCATCTGTAGATTACTGAATTATATTAGCAGACTGCCCTGCCGTCTGATTGCTGTTGCGATGAATGCATCACTTTGTCTGTTGCTCTTATTGGTTCTAATACTGTCCAATTGCATGCAGACACTGTTAGAAAGACAAACATACCCCACAATATTATTACATACGTAGGGTGGCTTGTCTGGCTAGCCAACTGTGCCACCAGACTGGTAGAGAATTTTATGAGTCCAACATACTTTGATCACGTTCAAATAGCTAACGACAAGCCTAATTAGGGTAAGATCAAAGAAATATTGAGACATTAGTTAAATAAATGCATTGTTTACTTAATCAATCCATCAGATAAGGACTAAAAGATGTGAAAATGCATTTCTGCAGAAGCACCCATTAAAATGCATTGATGAAGGTATGAACCTAATGCGCTGATTGGGTGTTTTGCATCTTTATGCCATCCTCACTTGAGCTCACATAAGTGCACTTCATTTGGAAAAGAAGACAAAATAGGAGGATGCTAGCAAATTGGAATGTGATGAAATGATAAAAAAATAATATTTTTCTCTTATAATTTCATGTGATGAGTTGGAGCTAAACTCTAAATTTAAATGCAGATTAGATTAATTATATTGGTGGTGCTGTGCTACTTTCAGGAGGACTGACTCAGTGCGACATGTCAGCCTGTATCATATCTGACTGTGTCGTACCTTCATGTGATCTGCTGCCGAGGAACGACTGTGAACGCTGCTGCGCTACATGTTATTTGGCAGGGAGTATGAGGCCGTTTTGATGTGAGTAGTCAGGCAGAACAACAAATCCCTTCCAGGCAGTATAGAAAAAAATTAAAATAAATAAATGTGCATGGATGAGTTGCTCAGTGATGGGTTTATATCAAAGGGATTTATGCTGCTAGGTGCAGCAAATGCTGATAGTCCTGATCTGATCATTAGAGCTGGTTACCACGTGAGATTGGCTTCAAGGAGGTGAGGGTGGTTTCTGAGATTACGAGTTTCCAAAAGGAGCCTTTCCTTCTCCACTGCACATTTGTCTGAGTGGGTTTAGGAAGGCTACGATAGAGACAGAAGCACAGAGGGAATGCGAATGTGCTTGTGCATGTATTAAAAAGACAAGAGAGAGGTCCTTGAGGCAACCTGCACATCTTTTATCACATCTTTAATTTATTGAAGCCCATAATAGAAGCTGCTGCAATTTCACTGAATAGACACAGCTGAATAGTAATCAGCTGAGGGATGAGGAGATACGCTTGACGTTCCCTTCCATTTTTGTCAATTCTCCCATTTGACAATCTTCCCTTTATTCACTTTATCCCCAGCTACTGTCATTGTCTGTTTTGAGGAAACACCGCTGCAGTGGACAAAAGGCTTTTTCTTGTGCAACTGGGGTGGGCTATTGCCATTTACTTTCCTCTCATCTTCTCTCTGCAGGATTTGTCTCGGACGGCTGTAACCATCATGGGATTTTTGTGGTTCTCCAGACTCAGCCTGATCGTCTTAGCTCTGATCCCACCGCGGTCTCTGGGCTGTCCTTCTGGATGCCGCTGCTACAGCCTGACAGTAGAGTGTGGGTCGCCTGGGATTAAAGAGATCCCACTAGGTCTTCCCTTCATCACAGAGGTCAGTTGAGCACATAAGAAAAAGTTAGGGCCCTCACCGTGAGTCCATTTCAGCTGACCCGACCAACCTGCACTAGCGGTTTCAGTTGACTTCCTCATTTATCCTTTCTTATTACCCTGAAATGATTGTGGTTAATCAATTTGCTGTGACCCCTCTTTGGTGTGAGCCTGCGGGTGGGGTGGATTTGCTGTTGGCTGCACAATTATTCATCCATCCTCAGAAAGTGACTTCTGCACACCCACTGATCATCTGTTAAGGAGATGTTTAACATCGCAGCATTTTTTTCCTCCAGGTTCAGGCCCTCCAACATTACCGCAGCTCATGAATATTGATGAAAAGCAAGTTTCGCATAAATTGTTCCATTAACCTCAATCAGCAGGTCTGTCTCGTCGATCATACCTTTCAGTGACTCGTGATGAAAGCGCATTTCCAGTCAGGCAGGCACTCATGGATTTTGGATCAGACCTGCAAAAGCACTTCTCCTAGTGTTCAAATGATTCAAACATTTTCTGGAGTTTTCAGCAAAGTTTAAGAAAAGAATACTGGAGAACTGGATCACAAACAATGTTAATCACATATCCGACACTGGGCCAGAATGACACTTTGAAATATATCACGGATTCACGGTACTGAAGTTTGATTACTTTTAAAGGGAAAATGTGTAGTTTTTATAGTTATTCTCTGGAAATATCCATCAAAATGTTGTTGAAAATGAATGAAATGATGCCCAGTTGTTGAAAAATATTGGCGATTTCTTAACATATAACCATAAAAAACAGTTCTAACATACATGGGAGAGGGTCTAAGTTTCTGGTCTACGCCATATTAGATGCATGCTTCCTTCTACGGGAGCCCTAGAGAACAAAATGCATTTACTGATTCGTAACAAATGGCTACAAAACTTTCACCATTCATAAACATTGTTGTTTTACACATTCACCTCTTTACTAGTTGCCAGTAATGAAAGGGAATCTGGTGTGCTTGTTATTTTGGTGATGTTTGAACTCCCCATGGCTTTTTGACCCATGGGTCTTACTCCAACAAAAAGATACAGCTTGCTTGCAACAACTTAGATATCTACTGTCCCGAATCACCAGGAAAAATACACACTGTCACTTTAAATACCTGTATTTAAAACACACAGCTCTCTCCACTAAAACTCAACAAATAAACATATTTCTTTTAATAATTTGAGTAAAATCCTAACGGGATGTTCACCTTAAACTGTGACAAAGAGATTGAAAAAAGGGTTGAAGCTGCTCTTTCTTTCATTTAGCTCTTTCACACATTCACACACATTTTACCTGTCCATCCATCCATCCATCCATCCATCCATCCATCCATCCATTTTCATCTGCTCATCCGGAGTCGGGTCGCGGGGGCAGTAGCCTAAGGCGAGAGGCCCAGACTTCCCTCTCGCCAGCCACTTGGGCCAGCTCCTCCGGGGGAATCCCAAGGCGTTCCCTGGCCAGGTGAGAGACATAGTCCTCCACCGTGTCCTGGGTCTACCTTTAGGTCTCCTCCCGGTTGGACGTGCACGGAAAACCTCACCAGGGAGGCGTCCAGGAGGCATCCTGACCTGATACCCGAGCCACCTCAACTGGCTCCTCTTGATGTGGAGGAGCAGTGGGTCTACTCCGAGCCTCTCCCGAATGACCGAGTTTCTCACCATATATATAAGGGAGAGCCCAGCCACTCTTTGGAGAAAACTCATTTCGGCCGCTTGTATCCACGATCCTTTTCTTTCGGTCACTACCCAAAGCTCATGACCATAGGTGAGGGTAGGAACGTAGATCGACGGGTAAATCGAGAGCTTCGCCTTCTGACTTAGCTCTCTCTTCACCACGACAGACCAGTACAACGCCCGCATCACTGCAGATGCAGCACCAATCTGCCTATTGATCTCACACTCCAGTTTTCCCTCACTCATGAACAAGACCCCGAGATACTTAAACTCCTCCACTTGGCAGGACCTCATCCCTGACCCGGAGAAGGCATTCTACCCTTTTCTGACTCAAGACCATGGTCTCAGATTTAGAGGAGCTGATTTTTGTCCCAGCTGCTTCACACTCGGCTGCGAACCGCTCCAGTGAAAGCTGAAGATCACGTTCTGATGAAGCCAACAGGACCACATCATCTGCAAAAAGCAGAGACCTGATCCTCAGGCCACCAAAACTGATGCCCTCCACACCTTGGCTGTGCCTAGAAATCCTGTCCATAAAGGTTATGAACAGAATCGGTGACAAAGGGCAGCGTTGGCGGAGTCCAACTCTCACATGGAACGAGCCCGACTTACTGCCGGCAATGCGGACCAAGCTCTGACACCGTCATACAGGGACCTAACAGCCCGTATCAGAGGTCCTGGTACCCCATACTCCCCGAGTACCCCCCACAGGGCCCCCCGAGGGACGCGGTCAAACGCCTTCTCCAAATCCACAAAACACATGTAGACTGGTTGGGCAATTTCCCACGCACCCTCCAGGATCCCCCTAAAGCCGGGCGTACACTGTGCGACTTTTTCACTTTTTTGAGCCGATTTTCCACTCGTGCGAGAATCCACAAGATCGGGGCGAGTTTTGCGCTGAGCGTCGTGTAGTATACAGGGGGTTATGAGAGGCGATCAACACCACATGACCAGCTACCGATCAGCAATTGTGAGCTTGCACGGACTTCTGGCGTGTTTGATATTTTGCTCGTCCCTCGTGAGAGTATTGCACTGTTGAAGCGGCGCTGCGAGCAGCTGCGACCCAAAAAGTATCAGAACCGCTCACGGCGCATGCGCAATCATGCATCACAACCGCTCGCCCGCTTTTTCCCTAATAACACATGTTGTTCGTTTTTATTTCTACATGTTTTTTTACTCACAGAGATTGTCAAGAAAGCGTGTTTGTCGTGTTCATGTCAAATTAAACTGATCACTAAACACAGATTTACTTTCTTTATTTCATTTTCCTCATCCAACCCCCATAAATCCCTGTGTCCTCCTGCAGCACTCCCGAAGGACAACAGGCAAGACAAAAAAGTCTGACGTGTTGTATAAAAACTGCTATTTTTTAGCATATTTTTAGGTCCGACGTGTTGCTACCAGACATACAGTGTGAGCAGTCAGGTCGCATCCGAGAACTGGGTCGTACAGTGTGAGCGCATGACTCGTGAGATCTGCCCTGCGAGGAAGTCGTACAGTTTGAGCTGAAGCTGAGTGCTACGAGTGAAAAAGTCGCACAGTGTCTGCCCAGCTTAAGGGTATAGAGCTGGTCCAGTGTTCCACGGCCAGGATGAAAACCACATTGCTCCTCCTGACTCTGAGGTTCAACAATCCGACGGACCCTCCTCCCCAGAACCCCTGAATAGACCTTACCAGGAAGGCTCAGGAGTGTGATCCCCTGTAGTTAGAACACACCCTGCGGTCCCCCTTTTTAGATAAGGGAACCACCACCCCAGTCTGCCAGTCCAGTGGGACTGCCCCGATGTCCACTCGATATTGCAGAGCCACGTCAGCCAACACAGCCCCACAACATCCAGAGCCTTAAGGAACTCCGGGCGGATCTCATCCACCCCTGGAGCCTTGCCACAGAGGAGCTTTTTAACCACCTCAGTGACCTCAGCACCAGAGATTTGAGAGGCCAACCCAAAGTCCCCAGACTCTGCTTCCTCACTGGAAGACGTGTCGGTGAGATTGAGGAGGTCTTCGACGTATTCTGCCCACCGATCCACAACGTCCTGAGTAGAGGTCAGCAGCACACCGTCCCCACTATAGTGTTGGTAGCACACTGCCCCCCCCCCCCCCCCCCCCCCCCCCCCCGAGGCGCCAGATAATGGACTAGAATCTCCTCGAAGCAAGATGGGGGCAACTAGTATGCCCACCCCTGCTCGGCGCTTCTCAGTGGGAGCAACTCCAGAGTGGTAGAAAGTCCAACCATTCTCAAGGAAACCGGTTCCAGAGCCAGAGCCATGCGTTGAGGTGAGTCCAACTATATCTAGTCAGAACCTCTCAACCTCACACACCAACTCAGGCTAATTTCCCACCAGAGAGGTGACATTCCATGTGCCAAGAGCCAGCTTCTCTAGCCAAGGATCAGACCGCCAAGGTCCCCCGCCCTCGACTACCATCTGTCACACACTGCACCCGACCCCTTTGGCCCCTCCCATGAGTGGTGAGCCCATGGGAAGGGGGACCCAGTTTCCTCTTTAGGCTGGGCCCAGCTGGGCTCCATGGGTGAAAGCCCGGCCACCAGGCGCTCGCCAACGTGCCCCACCTCCAGGCCTGGCTCCAGAGGGGGGCCCAAGTGACCCACGTCCGGGCGAGGGAACATGGTTTCCATTTATGTAATTCATCATAAGAGGTCTTCAGGCTGCTCTTTGTCTGATCCCTCACCTAGGACCTGTTTGCCATGGGTGACCCTTCCAGAGGCAGAAAGCCTCAGACAACTTAGCTCCTAGGATCACTGAGACACTCAAACCCCTCCACCACGGTAAGGTGGCAGCCCATCTGTATGTCAGCAAAAATGCAAAAGAAGGCCGTTTTAAAGCCATGAATCTATTTTGAACCTTTTTTCTAATTAATAGCCGGATATAAGGGAATAAATGTGATAACAGCTAAGTAGAATTTAATTAAGAAAAAAGTGATTTTAGCAGAACCCTAGTACTTTTCTGCTCATTAAGACTTGTGATTAATTTGTTTACCTTAGCAACTAAATTAGAAGCCACATTTCGTGCTCTAGTGATTGGCATGCTTATTCTCTTAGCAGTTTGCAAATGTTAATTTCAAGAAAGCATTACTTGACTTTAGCTAAGAGAGATGGATGGTGCGTCTGTAGATGTGAAATTAAATCTGAAGTGCTTCCTTCTCATGCAGGTCCTGCATCTTCTTGCCCCAAGCCTTGCTCAAATAGATTTTTTGAAGTTCCAATAAAATTCCCTAACTTTGTCCTTTTAGACAGGGAAGGGGATGTTTCAGAGGCTGACCTCCTTCTGTCCAGTTAGCATCACATATAGGAGCAGGGGGGTAAGATGGGTAGTGTTTTACTAATGCAACCATCTTTTTGCTATGTGGTAATCTCTTTCTTTATCCTCTCCACCTGCTGTCCTTTGAAGACGATCTTCCTCCAGGACAACTCCATAGTGCATATTCGTCTCCAGGACCTGAGCCGTTTGAGAAGCCTCCACTATCTGTACCTCCAGAACAACAGCATCTCAGCCTTGGAGCCTGGAGCTTTTCTCAACCAGGGGCAGCTGCTGGAGCTGGCCCTCAATGGCAACTTCATCCATCTGGTCACCCCTGACATGTTTCGGGGTCTGGAGCACCTTCGCATCCTCTACCTTGCTGGCAACCAGATTACTCGCATTCAGGACCACACCTTTAGGGGACTGCAGGTTCGACTGATTGAGCTGTCATAAAATGGTTGAGGGCTGAAAGTTTTTGATGGACATCTGTATTTTAGGACTTTATAAACTAAACATAAGATGTCTCTTGGATAATCCAAAATGGCATCTGCAAATGTACAGTAAATGTAATTTCTGACTGTGTGTCTTTCTAAGCCTGATCTTCCTGTCATTCACAACTGATTTGACAGTTCTAGGTCTTCTTTAACTTGTCCTGTGTCACGCCTACCTAATTATATTCATGTCTTTGTTCCTTCTGCAGCGGCTGCAGGAACTTCACCTGCAGGATAACAGCATAGAGTTACTGGCAGAGCATGCTCTGTCTGGCCTGTCATCTCTGGCATTGTTGGACCTCAGCAGGAATCATCTACATACTCTGGGAGCTTCATTCCTCAAACCACTTGTCAGTTTGCAAGTGCTCCGTATCACAGGTAGGCAGGATTAAAAGATCAAACTGATCTGATGTAACCTTCTGAGACACTCTGATTGTCTGAATTAAAACAGTCTCAGAAAAGTCATCTGGAATCTAAAAAGCTGGCACCATCCCAATGATGTACCACAGACTGATTCTTGTTATAGAACCTGAAGTGCTCTTAAATATTTTTGACACATCAAAGGAAATCAACCAGCCACAGACAGTCTAATAAGAAAATAGTTCTGAAAAATACCACTTCAAAGTGAATATTGGTAAAATACCCAATTAAAGGGACTTCTTTTAGAGGCCAATTAGAGAGCAAGTATCAGTGAGCTGTAATAGCCCTCCCTCCCACACATTAGCAAAGTCAGACCAACTACTTCTGTAACTTTCTCCAACCAGCAATCTGGTATTCACACACACCTTTTACAGTAATTGGTCAGTGGTGCACAGGTGACACAGGATCTGACGCAGAACCACTGTTTGCTTCTTTCAGGTTTCGAAACTACTTTTTATTCCTAGTGGGATTGCTGTCTTCTTAGTGTGGCTTGGAGATTGATTATTCTGACCTCTAAAAGATTTTGACTTGTTCTTGTTTCTTATTTTTACATGAGAGAGAGATTTCAATCAGCAGGTTTTTAACAGGCTTCTACAGAGCCTGATGAGCGGCTGAGCAGGTGGATCAACCACTGAATCTGAAGTATTGGAGCAAAGACGTGCAGGATACCGGCCCTCGAGGACCAGGGTTCCCCACGCCTGTGTTAGAGAGTGAGCGATAGTTAGAAAGAGCATTTGAGAGAGACTGAGGCCTAGTCCACATGTAGCCGGGGTTTTTTGAAAACAAATATCCGCCCCTCCAAAAACTTGCATCCACACCACCGCGTTTTAAAAACAGACTCTGTCCACACGTACCCGGATAAATACGTTGTTAAGGACATGCCAGACCTGTAGGCGGCAGTACTTCCCCCGTTCTTAACCTCTTCCTTCGTCTGTGGTCTTCCGCAAGGAGCAGTAATTCCGCTTGCAAAAACAAACAAGCAGAAAGCGCTTGGACAATTGATGGATCGGGTAGTGACAGAGCGCAGCTCTGAGGGCATCCATGCTGTCGGCTAGTGTAAACACAGGTCGCACACGTGATGTCAGCATTTTTTTGTCGCGGAAAGTGACGTTGCGGACCTTAAAACTCCGGTTTTGTCCGTCCACACGCAGACACCCAAAACGGAGAAAACGCAGATCTTCACTTTGGCCGGAGTTTTTAAAAAGATCCGTTTTCGTGTGAAAAAACTCAGTTTTTGTGTGGATGACAGGCCAAAACGTAGGAAAATATCTACGTTTTGGCAGATCCCCGGCTACGTGTGGACAGGGCCTTAGTTAGAGAGAGAGAGAGAGAGAGAGAGAGAGAGAGAGAGAGAGAGAGAGAGAGAGAGAGAGAGAGAGAGAGAGAGAGAGAGAGAGAGAGAGAGAGAGAGAGAGAGAGAGAGAGAGAGAGAGAGAGAGAGAGAGAGAGAGAGAGAGAGAGAGAGAGAGAGAGAGAGAGAGAGAGAGAATTAGTGAGAGAGAGAGAATTAGTGAGAGAGAGTTTTATATATATATATATATATATATATATATATATATATATATATATATATATATATATATATATATATATATATATATATATATATATATATATATATGGGAGATTTGGTAATGTAATCATTTTTCCAACCAAAGGATGACAACTATGACATTTTAACTTTGGGACCTTATGTAAGTTTGTGAGAAAAAGGGAGCACAGACTGTCTTCATCAAAAGTTTTTTCCATGGCTTTTAAACGTCCTTTAGCATAATCACTTTTCTCCGTGTTCTTTTGTTTTAGAGAATCCATGGCGCTGTGATTGTGCTCTGGGTTGGCTCAGAACCTGGATCAGTGAAGACGGACAGCGTCTCCTGAGTTCAGCTGAGCAGCGTCGGCTGATGTGTGCCGAACCCCCCCGCCTCTCCCACCTCAGCCTGGTGGAAGTGGCTCCCAACAGTCTGGTGTGCATCCCTCCGGTGGTGCAGCTTGAACCTAACCATCTGACTGTGCGTCTGGGAGAGAGTCTTCGCGTCTCCTGCCAGGCCTCAGGGTACCCTCAGCCTCAGGTGACATGGAAAAAAGCCTCTCATGGTAAACCTCAGTTATCCCCTCGGGGTCTGTTCCAAGAGCTGGGACCCAATGGGGAGCTTTTCAGGCCTGCAACTGGAGGAGTAGTGACAGCTTTGCCCAGCCGTGGAGACATCAAGGTGGGGGGTGTTGGAGCAATCAATGGGCTTGTGCGTGGGACTGAGGAAGGTGGCGAGAGGGACAGCTTTGACCCAGACATGGGCAGCGGCATGCTCTTCCTCAGTAATGTGACTGTAGCACATGCTGGGCGTTATGAATGTGAGGCTTGGAATCCAGGTGGTGTGGCAAGGGTTACATTTCACCTGGCTGTCAACATGTCTTCTTCTTCATATTCCTCCCATTTTTGGCCACGGTTGAACACACATTCATATGTTTCTTCTTCATCTAGCTCCTTCTATCAGCCAGAAGTCCTTGATGTTAGCCAGGAGCCATTGTACAAACAGGAAAGCATGGACTTTAACGCGTTGGGTCCTGCCACACAGACTGCCATTGCTATTGGGATATCCTTACTGGCCCTCACTGCTGTTCTTCTCTTAGTTATGATCTACACTCGTCACCAGCAGTACCAAAAAGAGGACAGCAGGCAATATTGTACCAGCAAAGAAGAGAGCATCCTCTATGTGAATGATTACTCTGATGGACCCACCACCTTTGCGCAGCTGGAGGAGTACCGAGACGACCACGGCCATGAGATGTACGTACTTAACAGAGCCAAACCCGTCACAGGTTCCGCTTCATCCAGGTGTCCCATGATAAGTGGATTTGTCCAACAGAAGAGCATGAAGGAAGCGCTTCTGGACCACGAAATGGTCCAGACACTGACCAGATCAGGGGGAATGGGGCTTTGCAGAAACCCAGCAGAAGGTGGAGAGGGACCCCTAACGACAGATCCAGAGCAGCTCTTCCTGAGTCAGAGTCTCCTGTTTGGATCACAAGTTGCCTACGAGATCCACTGCTGAAGTATTTTTACCATGCGCTGATGTCAAACAAAATACTGATGGACTTATAACAAGACCTTACGAATCATCTTGCTGCAGTGATTTCATGCAACTGATTATTATCTGGCTTTTAGGAGAGAGAAGGGAATCATTTAGTGATTGCTGGGAGAACCCAGTTTCCCCGACATCCTTGTCTAATTGACTGTATGACATTAAGATGGGTCAGGGGACTGGACTGTGGCAATTAAAGAGAACGTAGCAAACGAACCATAGGTTTCAGTTACCATGTAAACCCTTTAAAGATAATTAGAAGTGGCTGACCTTGAGAGAAATGGTAAACAAGTTCAACTAAATCCAGACAAAAGAGACAGCAACTGTGCAATGTGATTGTACTTGTGGTTAGTGAATAAACTTTTCTACAATTGTATTTCTTTAGGTTTTACTTTACATGTTGAACATGTGTCTCGTGTAAATAAAATTAGTATAATTTTCAACATGAAGTACAGCTTTTCAGTAGACCCGGTTGCAGATGTCAGTAGAATCAGAAGAACAGTGATCCTCTCGTGCCCGGTTCACAGGGCAGGATTATTATGTTGATTTTTTACCTGATCGTCCCCGTTCGACAAGTTTAAAGCAGTACGGTAGCTGAAGCCTCTCTCCCTGCTAGTGATGGGATTTATGGCTCTTTCACGGGAGCTGTTCGTTAGTTGGTCATTTACCTCAAAGAGCTGTTCAAGACTGGTTCGGGGGGCGGTGGGTGGGGTTTGAGCAGGTGTGCTTTACCGACTTCCGGGGAGGTTTGTTAACGGAAGACGATTCGTTCGTGAACATTACATCACTACTGGGTGCGCCCCTCCCTCTATGACTGTTCTGTCTTGTGGGGCTAAATTGTGGGCATCTGTGTGAAACATGCATAGGAAAAAAAGAATGACAGAAAGAACCTACCCCCCACCCCCAGCCGCGACTCGGCTCCCATCGTTCATGTTTATTAGCCGTTCAAAAGAATCGGTTCATTCGCGAACGTCACAACTCTACTCCCTACTTCTGCGACTAGAAGCAACGCCTCCCGTTCACAAATCCACACCTCTAGCCAGCTAGCAGGTAGACTGTGATTGACTTCTATACACAAGCAGATGACGAACGCTATTGGCTAATGCTTAGCAACGCTCAATTCAAGGGGCTCGATGGGACATGAGCTTAGAAAAAATGAACATATTGCCTAAATTATATGACAGTACAGAGTAAGACTATCATGTATACAGATTTCTAAAAAAATCCTGCATAATTCCTGAAAGAGCAAAAACTTCAGATTGCTGCTTTAAAGAGGTCCTTTAAGGTTTAATACACTTTCAGTGGTCTCCAATAGGAATGAATGCCTTGTAAGTCGTACTCTGGGGAGGCAAGCTCTTGTGCACCTGTTTGAGGAACTAGAAGTGAGCCAGATCAGAGGAGAGCTTCAGACAACTGGACCTGGGGCATTATTTGCTGATATTTAGATCTCTTGCCGCTGACTGACAAAGACCAACGCAAATCTACCACTGACTCCATTTGCTTTAAACATTGATGTTTTATCTCCACAAATAACACAAGACTGGAGGAGTTCCCCTGTGTTGCCGAGTTGCTAATGCTAATGACTAGCATAGTCGAGATGTTCTCCGCTCTTTCCTGGACACTAGGCCAACAACAGCCTTCACCATTGCAAGGGTTGGGTGAGTCCATGAATGTTAAGTGACAGTGTTAAACTTAGGGTGACTGATCATTTTCTAAAAGAATAAGGAAAAATGATTTGTCAGTAAAGGACCTCTTGAAGAACACGTCTGATTGTCGTAATGGTTGTAAAGATGATTTTATCAGATATACCAACTGTGTGTGGTGCGTTAAGAGTGCTTTGGTCTGCTTGGAAGCACACTGGGATAGCTTTGATTGTAAATATGGGCTTTCAAACACGTTAGCTTGTTTTGATCCAATTCTCAAAAACAAACAATAGTCAGTCACAAATCAAGGGGTTGTTTGTTCACTCCAAAGTCAAGTTTGATTTTGGGAGATTTCCCATCTGACCAGAGAATGCCAATGAGTAAAATTGGTTGATGTGTCGGGTGTAGTTTTAGCCATTTGGCAAGACAATACACACTGTTGGACCAAATCTAGACAATCCTTGCTTCTTCTTCTTCTTCTTTTTTTTTTATCGACGGGGGTGCGGTCTCACATGTTTTGAAAATTGTACAAAACATTTAAAATCCTGCCGTGTAACCTGGGCTTTAGCAAAACTGCATCATCATATGCATTCGTGTGAATGTTTTTTTCTGATGTGGCTTGAACAGTTCAATCAGGATGTGGCAAGAACTATTTTTATAACATCGGCATTGTATGATAAATCTTTATTCTTTGTTAACATGTGTATTTTGTTGTCTTTACTAGTACCTTAACCCTCCCACTCTCTTCATGGGTGACCCCGCCAGGAAAGTTGACCACTGAGCAGGGTTGATGGTTTATCCCTTGAGGTCCACATAGCAGGGGTGAAGAGTGAGCACCACCTCACCCCTGCCACATGGACCTCAAGGGATAAACCATCAATCCTATTCAATGGTCAACTTTCTTGGCGGGGTCACCCATGAAGACAGTGGGAGGGTTAAAGTAAGAAATTAACATTTTCATTGTAAACAAGTTGGATAGGCTCTGGATGCTAAACACAGCAACTCGGATTGAACACAACAACACAGAAATTTTGAGATTCACAAACTCGTAACTCAAAAAGACCCGAAATTCAGCAATATTTTCTTAAGAAAAACAGAAGTCAACATCTGTAAACTAAACATCAGAAGAATTGATATTAGAAAAAAACAAAAAACGGAGAAAATGTCAAGTCTAATTCTTTATTGCTGTTTTGGCTGAAATATGGTGTAGAAAATGATAAAACTTTTATTGTGCTTTAGTTTTTTATAGAATTTTGTCCAATGTTTCTGTGGTGTGTGTCAGGGCCAAAAATGAAAACAGCAACCAAACAGTAGGAAAAAAAAAACCTGCAAACACTAGACTGTACAACTATTTGAATGTGAATATTGTAAATTTGGTTTTCAGTTTGTATACAATAAAATGTATTTTAAGAATCAGGATTTCTCCTCTTTCAGAAATTCTTGAACTCAGCTGCATTATTTATTGGAACCCACTGGGAACATATTTCTCTGCATTTCACCCTTCCCTGCAGGAGAGGTGAGTGTTATTTGTACAGCCTCCACTGGGCAATTTTTGTGAGTTTAATGTCTTGCCTAAGGATGGTTCAACATGTGGCCTACTGGGACCTGGGATCAAACCACTTGCCTTCCAATAACTGGACAACCACGCTTCCTCATTGTGTTACGTACTTTCAGTTTTAAAGTTAATGGAATTATCAACAAAACACAAAGTCTACGTCATCTTACCCTTAACCAATACATGTAGGAAAAAACATGTTCTTTTAAAGAACTTTGCTTTTATTAACAGTATCCTATTTATTTACATAGGCAGCACATTTAAAACAAGTGCTTTACAGTGGAAAAATTACAAAAAATGGCATGAAACAAACATAGACAAAAATAACAATTAACAAAACAGCACCACAAAAGTTAAGAATGAAATAAAACTGAAAATTAGGAGTAAAAAGATAAAAATGTGGTATAAAACAAACCACTGTGTTAAAGGTCTTTGAAAATAAGCATGAGATTTATAAGCAGGAAGTGAGGACTGTCTATCTCTGAAGGTAGGGGTGCTCTAAATGTTCAAAACGGTAAAAGTCTCATCTCCTCTGAGCATCTGCCTTGTTTTCGGACCACCAGGAGGAGCCTCAACTGGATAGGGCTGAAACAGGTCAGAAAGATACGAGGAGCAACACCATTTGGGCTCTCTGGGGCCAAAAGAAGGTTTGGAAAATCAGTTCTGTGGTGCATAGTGGGCCAACAAAGAGAAGGTTTGATCTGCTCATAGGTGCAGCACAGAATTGAAGCTACTGAAGGCCAAAGAGGGGAAGCGTCACTAGTACCAAAGCAAATTAGTAGTTGAGTCGAGTTGTAGTAAAAGTATAATTTATTCACTCATGACAGACCTGATTTAAGTTGGGGTGTCACCCACAGCTGGAAAAAAGCATTTCTACAGAGCAGAGCTGATCTGTTTATTAATTTGAAAATCCTAATCTATAATTACCCTATAATTGTTATTATTGGTGACTTATTACTTAATGTATGGCTCCAGAGATCCAAGAGGAGCAGGGAGGTTTGTGAATTTGTGATGAACTGAATAAAATAACCTTCTTTCTTTTTATTAAAGCTAATCCAGATGTTAATGTCATCAGATGTTTCTGTAGGGGCTGGATGGAGCGTGAGATATTTGGTGTTAAAGGCAGCTCTGGCAAAGGAGATCTGGCTGTCATCTGTGTAGCATTGGTTGGTGCTGTGATAGACACCAAAAGAATAAGGTATAGCGGAAGTCCAAGGATAGAACCCTGAGGGACCCCGCAGTACAAATGTGTTGGAGAGGAAAGAACATTTTTATTGTAAATGTAGGATGACTTTTGTCCCTCAAGTAAGAATAAAAACTATCCAGAGCAGGACATCTAATCCTTTTTTAATTTTTTTCTTCTTTTTTTTCTCCCGTGTCCTGTCTGGCTGTAAAGCAAACAGAATTAATGTCTGAATGCTCGTGACAAGCTTTACAGATTTACTCTCAGGTGGAGCATCAAAGGTTCTGCCTTAGTGTCACGCCTGATACAGAGGTGGAAGAGAAAGGAAAAGACGGGGGGGGGGGGGGGGGGGGGGGGGGGGGCATTCCACAAAAAAAACAAATCAGTGATGAGCAAGAGTCTGCTTCTAGGCCTGCAGAAAAAAAAACCAAACTAAAAAAAAGGGACACACAACAATACGACTAGAGCAAGCTATCACTGCGTCAACCTGATGAGGAAATATAAAATCAGCATTGTTTTACTGAACAATCACACGATAATAAATCACAGTGCATTTAGTGCCAACCACAGTCCTAAGACGTGTTGGAAGTGCCCAAGTCCATACTTATGAGCGCACCATGTGAGCACCTGTGTGCGTACACGCGCTTCTCTATAGGAGTGTCCAATAGAGAGTGTGAGAGGCCACAGATCTGCCCCCCAAAGGTGTGTAGGAGATGGAGGGAGCTCCAAGTCCCAGAGATCCAGGAGCTGCCCCAGAGCGCAGGGACCCCAGGGAGACTGTAACCAAAAAACCCCAGCCCCCCTCAAGAGGCGCAGAGGATTGCCCCGTGTGGTCACAACCAGCAGCCGGCAGAGTCCCAGGAGATATCAGCGGCAAGCCCACAGGCACGGCCTCCCATTCCCAAGCCGGTTGAGCCCGGAACCCAGCGACCCGGGACCCAGGGGCGACCAGCCCTGCCGAGGACCCAACAGAGCCCAGGGACTCAGATCCCACCAGGCAGCCACCGGGATCAATCAGGCAGATGCCAAAAATCTTAAACACCCTGACCCGGGAACCGCAAACACTCAGGCAGACCAAGGCACCACACTCCACATCAAATGTGCCGGGGGGAGGGCAGGTGAAGATGTGTAGGAGCACATGAAGTCCCAGGAGAGGGTAGGAGTCCAAGACCCCACCTGACATATACAGTCATATACAGATACAGTCACACACTCCCCCCTCATGCTCACACATACACATACAATCTAAGACTTACAAAAATGAACGCTAGACACCCACTCACACTCCCCATACACAACCTTTTCACTCTGGTCCCAGTATTGCTGCACAAAGGGTACAACCATCACTGGCTCCCAAAGTCCACCCCTTTCTGCTGGGGTGATGATGGGCAGGCTACCCCACCCAACGCTGAGCAAAGCATCCCACCACTCCAGACCCCAACCAGACGGCCAACTCCCCCACCTAGCCTCCAGCACCGGGAAGCAAAGTGACAACAGAGGTGTGCTAAGACCCCTAGTCTTCCTCCCCCTGCTCCAATACAGTGTCAGTGCATGTTGATGAGGTGTATTCCATGGCTGTGGTGATGAGGTGTATTCCATGGCTGTGGTGAGCAGGCAGTGCAGGCATTGGCTGGCCTACGCCAGCTCATGTCAACACACCACCCCTCTTCCCCCCACAGCCCTCTGTGTCTAAGTGCAGTTTAAAATTGGAAGTGGGCACCGGCACTTGGGATGAGGCTGAAAGATTCCCTTGCCAAATGTCGCTGAATGTGCTCACTCCCAAGGCCCTAAGTGTGTATTTGCATGGAATGTCGTTGGTGGAAGTGTTTAATGTGCAAATAAAATTGGGGAGCAGGCTGCCACAGGAATGCCAAAATGGGATCCTTACCCACGCCCCCTGACTTGTCCACCCCCCCCCCCCCCCCCCCCAAGGCCCTATGTGCATGATTGTATGATGATGTGAGGGAGCAGGAGGAGAAAAATGTATGGGGATGGGGAGGAATGGCTGTTTGGCCTAAGCCCTGCAGGGAGCCAGCTCCCCCACTGGCCCCAATAGGCACCTCTGTTCCCAGTATGCCACCCAGGGCAAGGAGACCCCAGCCCATCTCACCAGGGCCCAAAGCAGCAGCATCACAGAGCCCCACGGAGTCCGAGGGCACCAACCTAGCCCCACCCCAGCAGAATATCTACACCCATCCCTGCATTTGCTGGGTGTCTAATCCAAACACAATGCTCCAGACATGAAGTAGGACTAGCATAGCCAACAGTAACACTTGCTGCCTTTAGATCCGAATGAACCAAATTACAAAGCTTCCGGTGTCAGTTCCTAAAAGTATGCCATTAAAAGCCCCATCAAAGTGATGTTTCAGTGACAGGAAGATGTTTAAAACTTGAATGAAAATTGTTCAAAATGCCAACATTACCCAGAAATCTTAAACATTTAACTGGGTTAAAACAAATCTCTCCAATATTTGAAATATTTAGTGAGTTTGGAGAGATTCCAGTGTAATTGATTCAAACTGAAAACAACCGAGTAGGGGGTCAAAGTACAGACCTGGACTGGCGCTGCCATAGTGGCCAGTCGCCATCTTGGATGGGTCTTCATTCGCTCTCAGTGCATATATTCTACTGGGGACAGTACTTGCCAAACTAAAACTACATTTTACACAGCTTTTTTTTCACAAAATCAAACATATGGTATGGCATGATAGTTAAAATATAAATACAATAAAATTAAATAAATAAATTAATTAAAATATAAAATCCCAACAGGTAGGCTAGAAAAGTCAATAGTAATCCCAGGTGCACCAGTTATTGCAACCGTAAGCTGCACACACACAAAAAATAAGTAAAATAACGGCACAGTTGCTCACTCTGTATTAACTCCAGTTGGCGTTACACTCTCCAGCGCCCAACAGGGTGTGTATATATTCACGTCTATGGGTAAAAGGACATGGGTCATGTGCAGCAGGTGAGTCCCATGACCTGACATTCTCAACCATTCTCAAGTGATATAAAATATTGCAGATGTCCATTAAGACCTGCATGTTGGAAGATTTAAAACAGAATCAGCTGTTTAACAACCAAAAACTCAGGGGTTATGGCAATTTAAAACAATGATTTGGAAATAGATGTCTTTTTCTCTTTTTTGGGGTGTTCTGACTTAATTTCCAACATTCTTTCAGCAATACAAATGAAACCTGCCATTTATCCTTATTCCACTTTTGCCCTGCTCTCCCGCACTGATGACCAGATTTTGTCATTTAACAAGAGCTGTCATCTCTGTTTGGGGCTCTGTGTTTTTAACTATATAGTTCAGTCAAAGAGTTGTCAAAGAGTTCTTAGACCATTCATGTTTCTGGTTTGCTGTTAAGTACCTTGGTGTCAGGTGGGCTTTCAGAGCATCTTATGAAATAAGATGGAAGGTTCTTTTGAAAGTGTGCTTTGCAAAGCCTAATAATCTATGCCTACACAAAGACCAACAGCTCCATTGATTCTGAGTCACTATATTCATCAATATCTTTTTCTAAAGTAGCTTCAATTTTGAACATAAACACTGACAACAGTGGCACTAAGTCTGATATAGAAGAGAATTGAAGCCTGAAAATACCTACCCGTAGAGACTGTCCATTTAATCATTGATTTTTTAAAAGTTCAGTCTTTTAGGGTTTTTACAGA